CCCCCACCACCAGCACCACCACCAGCAGCACCACCACCACCACCACCACCACCACCACCACCAGCACCACCACCAGCACCACCACCAGCACCACCACCAGCAGCACCAGAACAAGAGGCAGCAGGACAACAGGAACAACAGCAGCAACGACAACATCAATAACATCAACAGCAAGAGCAGGAACATCACCAAAAACAAAAACATTAGCAAGTGCAAGAACAGAAAAAGAAGGACCAGCGCAGCAGGGCTGCGGCGGCGCTCACCATGTTTACAAAAAAGCTTGCCAACCACTCGCCCGTCAGTTCGTAAAGCAGCTCACCGCACGCAAAGCCATGTTCAATGACAAACCGTTGAACTTCACCAACCTTATGAGTCTGGACTGAGGTTGTTGTTTGTGCACGCTTCGCGCCTGGCCCCATCGTTTGACATCAGCAGCGTTCTTAGAGAACCAAGGGTATCAAGGTAAACACAGCCGCTCGCTCTCAAGGCTTCCCAGCAAGATTAAGGTCAACGATGTTGAAAGGCTTAGGAAAGGCCTCGAGGAGGATAGTGTGTATGGCTTTTAGATTCACTGGCAGAAGTTCAATGCACAAACAGCGCTGAGGGCACATTGCAAGCCCAGCTGGCACGTCCCGACTTTCAGCTTGAGGTCCTCACTACAACTTTGCCAGTCTCCTCGGTTCCTGGGATACTGAGGAGTCAAAGGAGGCCATTGCTGAGAGCGTGACGCATTTAGGTTTCATTCAGAAGGCTATGAGTTGTTCGTGACATTTTCAATGTGAAAACGAATCTAAAACTTTTGAACGCGGCTTGTAAGCAACAAACAATCTAACCTAGGAGCTGTCAGAGTGGATAGGCCATGTCATTCCACACGTCATGCATTCTATCCGATCTGGTGTTCTTGATTATCAAGATTGTTTTGTTCGATTGCAGTCCAGTGCAGGAGCTTGCCACGGCGACAATCACCATTCGCGGCGGGTACTCTGCGCAAGTGCTGCCGCTCCCAAGATGCAGACAGTTTTTCTCAGCCAGTCAACCAACCTGAAAAGAATTGGCACGACGAGCCATTACAACGTCAGAGCACACATCATACAAGGATCATTGAAGCCTCGATCGAGGGCGTCCTCCGCATGTTCTGTGAGGAAGGTGCCCAGAGCTTTCACCATTCAGAATCCATCAGCTGTCCCAGGAAGCATAAAAAGCCTGCAAAAGGTACAGACAGTACTGTGCCGCACCTCCCATGAGCAGTCGCAAGCTGAGACCGAGCGCACGCTCATGCCAGGCTCGATCCTGATATTCACCGAGCGGCTAGAAATTTAGCTGCAAGCGTGTGATGTCTGTAAGTCGTTCTGCTCAGAATCTCCTGCTGCAGATTCTTCATTGGCAGTGGCTGCGAAAGCACAATCCAAGGTAAGCGACGTGGGAGGTGGGCTCCCAAGTACAACACATGAGGTCGTGAGATGCAGATGCCCAGAAATTTAGCCACATCATAATCTGGCTGCAGACTGTTGCAAGGCTCAGAAGCCGCATTTTGACGGGTGCAGCCTTTTTGTAAGCGTTTGCTGAAATTTGATTTGAAACTGGCATCAACTTCCTGGCCAGCCTCATCATCCCAGACTCTTCCCTGTTTTTCCAAACCTCATGGCATTTGTTGGCAAATATGTCCAGCGTCCTGCTAGCCTGTAAGCTTATCTTTTTTTTTCAACGGTGAGATCATGCAGGCATTAACTTGTTGACTGGCTGACTGGAGCGATATCTCCGGTGAGTCAGCTGGCTGGATCCCTCAGGTCTGGTCCCATCTTTGCACCCCGAAAACCCACGTTTGGAATCCGGATCACGGGGGCCAATGGAGTGGACGCCCTACATAGGCGTCAAGACCCTATTTTGCATTGTTTCCCGTGGTCTCAAACCTTGAGACAATTTGACAGCTTGATCTGCCATTCCCTTGGTGATTGGCTGGAGGTTTGGGCTGGAGTTTCAGCAGGCCACCTGAGACAGTCATGCCAGCTTGTCAAGGTGGCAGCTACTCTATGACCGTGGAGTTCCAAATACTGCCCCCGCGCGATGGAGGCAGCTTTGGCCAGCGAAAAATGCATGTTCATGTTCATGCACGTCATCCGCTATGCTATGCCGCTATGCCGCATGCCTTGCAGAGGTGGTGACTGCGCATGGCCGCTGGGACGAAACGCCAAGAATTGTCTCAGCTTCGGCCGGTACTGAAGATGCTGTTGCATGCCACCTCCTTGCTTCATAAGGCATAAGCCAACTTTTATGATTCCAGCGCACTTCTGCCTTCATCAACTTCTCCATCGACAAACCAGTCGTGGCAAGCCAGCGGCTTTTTTTGTTTGTCGTCGTCGTCGTCGTCGTCGTCGTCGTCGTTGCTGCTGTTGTTGCTGCTGCTGCTGGTTTTGTTGTGGTGGTGGTGGAGGTGGCGGCGGCGGCGGTAGTTTTGGTTGTCGTTGTTGCCGTTGTCGTTGTCTTCGAGCATGCCAATGTTTATGCACAGAGATTTGTACGGCAATTTTGCATGGTCATTTCTCAGCAAAGGCCATGGTAGCATTATGGCCTCCCAAGACCCGTGAGAGACCCTTGCAAAACAAGGGAAGCAAAGGGAAGCTAGGAAGGTTGGGAGCTTTGAGCCCAATTCCGTCATCGCAAAGCATGTTCGACAAAATGCCCCTTCCTGTGGATGCGCGCATGTCAAGCCTTTCACAACTTTTCATCAGGGAGCTCCGTGCTGCAGCACAGGGTGCAGATGCACCACCGTTCGAGCTCAGGCTGAATTTCAGATCGGTTGTAGTTTGGGATTGAAGGGTAAAAGCCTTGAAGCAGGTTTTGCCTAGTCAGCCTAGTCGCGGCTTTTGAGTTTTGTCTGTTCCCCGCACAATGTAGCCAGTGTTCCACCCGTCTTCCTGCCTGCGTTCCGGTTTACGATGCAGGCATTGCAGGCATTGCTGCATTCCTCAGACTAACAAACACTGTGACTGCACCAAGCGCTGAAGGGCCTCAAGACCTACTGTCAGCAACATTTGAAGGATGAGTGCGATGGGTACTGTCCGCGACAGAAGCCTTTGTTCAGCTCCTCTGCCAGCAAGATTGCTTACAATTCTGCAAGCTGGCAACACTTCTCTTCTGGCATCATGCACTTTCAACCGTCCACGGTGTTGTTTGACAAATGCAGAATGCTCACTTTCGCAGGCTGCCACATCACGAACCTTGTTTTGAGGAAAACTTGGCCCAGGGTGTGTTGCTGTGACAAGCAAGGACGGGCCTTGGAGAACCAAATTTGGATGTATCCGTCTACACGTTCAATGGCAACTGCAAGCTGGCATCCTGGTAGCAAGCGGATTCTCACATCATCCAACTGCGACACGTCAGTAACGCCTGTAGGGTGCTTCAGGATAGGTCGGCTACCAGGATCTGAAAACCGCTCCAGACAAGCATCCTTGAGTGAGGTCCCAGGTGTGTACATTAGAAGGGCCTGCCTGCATGATCTACAGACCCAATCTTTTTCTTTGTCTTGTTAAGATGAGATGCGCTAGCATGCTGCTGGGTCCGCCAAGAGAAGCAGTGCGAAGCTGCAAAGTCAAAGAATCCATCAAACAGCCGCAAGTCAGGTTTATCCCACAGACGGTGCCGCTAGAAATGTCAACTCCGGTTCCGTGACAGGTTGTCTTTTCCTAGGCGCAGAAGCAACAACATCCTAAGTATACTGCCTCCAAAGCTTGGTTGCGGCCTAGCCATTCCAGGCCTTAGATTCCCAAAACCGCAGACCAGGTACGTGCGCATGTTCAGCATCTTCTGCCACCGACTGGAAGTGGTCCGGCCGCCACTCGAGCTGAGAGCTTTAAGCGTTTTGTGACGACACCCCCAACCGTCCTCAACCTCCAGCACCAGCAGCCGCGTTTATTAACGCAGAAAAGAGCAGAAGATGGGAAGCATGGGCCCAACAGGCGCAACAGGTTAGCTCTTTCCTGCTTTCATAAAGGCCAGGTGCGGTGTATGTATACATATATATATATATGATTATATATGTATATAATCCCATGTGTGCTTATTAAGCAGGCCCAAAGTGTAAAATGGACACAAGATCAGGACCTGGGATCCAAACCACAGGTGCCTCTGGACGTGAAGGAATTTCTTGGCCGTCTAGAAGATGCTTGGAGCTTCAGATTTCAAGTCAGAGCTGAGGCGCAATTTCCCTGCGATGCAAGCACAGGTCGAAGCCTGGGGTGAGGGTTCAGGCTCACAGGAGAGTCATGTTGAGTTGACGGGCATCAGGGTGAAGCAAAGCGAATGCTGCAGAATCAATCTTGTGACGCTGGGAGCACGAAGGTATCTTTGCGCAGGATCCTGAATATGTTGATATTAACCCTCACGACTCCTGCCATTGCATTGCGCTCCAGTCGCAGCTTTGTTCGCTTCTAGAGACGAGAACTTGTGCACAAGTGTGTGTGCTCTCGTTAGTTCCATGTTGGAGCAAGGGAATCGCATGCTCACAACTGGCATGCATTGAAGGACTGGCGCTGCGAGGATTTCTTCGTTGAGGCTGCGGGAAGGTTGGTGCAGTCTGTTCATCCTTATAGATCACTTGCTTGGGCCATTGTAGCCATGTAGGTCCTATCGCATACGCTATCCTGCTAATTGATCCTTAGGTCCGAATCCTTTACGAGCTCAAACGTGTTGGAGAGCACAAGAATAAATGGTTCTGGCATGGTACAGGGCTTCAGCATGGGACGGGTCTGCGGTGAGTGCTGG